GGCCGCAAGAGACCCCAAGGCCAAAAGTGACCAGGAGGCCACAAGTGACACCACCAAGGCCACGAGTCACCAAGCCAGAGCCACGAGTGACACCAAGGCCACAAGTGACACCAAGGCCACGAGTGACACCGAGGCCACGAGTCACCAGAGCCCAGCCAGGCAACGGGGCAGGGGAGCCCCCAGACAGGAGCAACCCGGGTCCCCAGTCCCCTTTGGGCCACCTGCTCCTGTGCAAGGACAATTCGGGCACTTTGAGACCCAGAACGGGGTCTCGTCCTCCCGCACGCGCACGGGGTGACGCTGCCCTGGTGGCGAGCGGGACGTTAGGGTGAAAATCCCACATTTACCTTCTTGGCCCAAAAATTGAGCTCCTTGTTGACGAGCTGGATGAGCTCCGAGTGGCAGAAGGGCAGAAAATAGACGATCTCGTTGATCCTGCCCAGAAACTCGTCCCGTCGGAAGTGAGCCTGCAAGGACAGGGCATGAGGGACAGCGGGGACAGGACCCGTGCCAAGGACACGGCCACGGGGCTTCCCGTCCCCAAATGTCACTTGTGCGTGACGAGGCCCCGGCCTGGACGTGGCAGGGCCCAGAACGGCTCCGTGAGCAAAATCCGGGATGCCCAGAGCAGAAGGCATGGAAAACGGAGTGCTCCGTACCTTCAGGATGGGGCGAATCACCTTCTCCTTGAACTGCTTGGAGATGGTGATCTTGTCGCTCATCTGCACGTCCTCTGCAAGGCACGAGGGCGCCGCGTGTCACCGAGAGGGAGGACATTCCCAAAAGACGTCCGGAACGTCCCCCGTGTCCCCTCCGTGCTTCCCGGATGCACATGGAGCCCGGCGGCGCCGCATTCCCGTTCGGCTCCGTCCCCTCCGTTCCTTCCCCGCATTTCCCTGCTCCTTCCCTAAGGAACCCGGCCGCTCCGGCCACCCCGATATCCATCTGCGTCACCCGCTGATCCATTTATCCGCCCATCCAGGCGCTTCCAGCTCCCGGGAGCTCCGGAAAGGCCAGGGAATTCCGGGAAACCCAGCCGAGCTCCAGCTCCTCATCCCAACCACATTTTCCAGCCAGGCGGGAGCCGCAGCGCTCTGTGCTGCAGGTCTAGGAATGGAAATCCAATGTTTTCCTCATTTAGCAGGAAAGCGCGTGGCATTTCCAAATGTTATTCTTGAAGTTCAGCTGCGGGAGCGCTGTGTCCTTTACCCGCCCCGATTGGAGCGGGAAGATTGCGAATTAAGCGGGTTTTTGTTCCTGCTTCTCCAAATAAAAGGGAAGAGATGGTTGGGGGGAGAAGCCCGGGCGCCCAACCAGCTCGCAGGGCATTCCCAGGGCATTCCCAGCTTGGGGAATGGCAGCGGGAACAACCCCCCCGTCCCATGGGATTCCCTGCATGGGGCACTGCCACCTTGCAGGGAGCGCCTGGCAAGGACAGAACGGGATGAGCGGGACGGGAATCCCTTCCCAAAGACAAGCGGAGCTCCGGGATGCGACCCGGGACTCCAACGAGAGCTGCCGGTTGGGATATTTCGGGATTGGGGCCCGGGAAGCGGGAGCGTACCCAGGTTTTCCGCCAGGCGCTTCTTGCTCATCTCCAGGGCCTCCTGGCGCAGCTGCAGCGCGTGCTGCGCGATCTCCTCGCTGGCCACGTTGGACGTCATGATGAAGATGGCATCCTTGCAGTCGATGGTCTTCCCTTTTCCGTCCGTCAGGCGGCCCTGCAAGGAAAGCGGCGGGAATGGGAGCGGCAGGGCCGGGAGCGGCGCTCCGAGGTTGGCCGGGATCCGGGAGCCGCTTTGTCCTGGGATGGATGTGTCCTTGTGGCTGGTCCCCGCATCCCTGCAGCTCCCTCTGT